ATTACCTGAGACAGAATCCATCTCAAACACTTCAGTCATTCTGTCCAATCCAAATGACTCTGAAATGGCCTTCGTGCTCGTCTTCATATCATCACAATTACTTGCATCTCCGATCTCGAGAATCCTGTCTGTGCGTGCCTATTTCCAGTGAACAAACCCTCTGTTCTATTAGTTTCCGTGTGTGTTGCATTCGAGAGAATGAATGCGAATGAAGGATGGATAGATGGATGGTCTGTGTGTTTGTGTATGAATATAGATTTGTGCATGTTGTGTGGATGTGTGGTGCATTGACTGATAGATTTAGTGAATAAATGAATGAGTTTACGTTCGACTGTGTTTGTGTTTCATTGTGACCGTGTGGAATTGGTGAATGAGAGAGTGAGAGGATGATTGAATGTGAGACTGACGTTACTTACGTGTGACTAGATATGATTGGTTTTGTGAACGATTTGAGATGATTCGGAGGTCTAGTTCCATGAACATGTATGAGCGTGTATCTATGAGATGAGGGAACGTCTTCGTGAATCATATAGTCTCACACTGTATGACGACTGTGAGTTCACTGTTCAACTTGAAACAACAATATTGTACATAAAGTCACAATCGAGAAGTTCGAGAACATTGATATGTCTATTGGAACTGTCGATTTTCAATCGACTGGACGGTCGGTGATGTGAGTGTAATGTCGAGTGCTGGTAAACCGGAGAATCGAGTGACTTGTGTGACATGCACACACGGGACACTTGCAATACAAGTGACCGACCAGGTGACCTACTCAGTAGACTCATCTCCATCAAGACTGGAGGTGCGAGTGCACAACGAGCAGTCTACTGGTGATTTTGAGAAACTGCAGACAGAGCACCTACTCCAGAAGTCACAGACCATTGGATTGTTGTGGACGGTCAGGCGACATGTGGAATGCACCGCACACGCGCCAATTCTACACCGACACAGTGGACACGTGTGGACAGAGGTGGTGTGGGAATGTGATGCTTTTACAATGTGTACGGTGTTGTCACAGTGAGTAATGCTGAGTGATGATGGTAGAGTAGTGTTGTGGCTACAAAAGCCGCCTGCTGGGAGTGGGGTTCGAACCCACGCGGGGATACACCCCAGGGGATCTTAAGTCCACCGCCTTAACCACTCGGCCATCCCAGCTGATTTTCGCTGGCACCGACTTGCACACTCACCACTTCACTATCAGTCGCTCGCACAAACACCAACTCCAACGAGCACCCACACAAAGATCATTAACCCACAATACCACAACATCAACACAACACCAATACTAACACCAATGAATACACGCTGAACTACTCACCTACCACCCACACATGATCGCTCACTCCGATCCACATACACACGCGCACACACACACACACACATATTCATCAACAACACACCGACTGATCAATTCGTCAACAAACATCGCTCATCAACTAGTCACTCTTTACTGACATTCACTGTGTTCACATATAGTCAAGTCATTCCCACACCACTATGCAACCATCGAATATTTCACTCGCATACACTCAGCCACACTAACCGTCACAACCATGATAGGCATTGTTTTGAATCAACCAGTGTTCATTATCCTGTTGTGTTGTATGCGGCTGACACGTTCAGTCTTGCCTGTGACTCGGTGTTGTTGTAAGAAACAATATCTTCTCAGAGTGATGTGATCCCGACGGGGGTGTGTGTTTTGACTTGACTCCTCCGTCATTATTCTCAACGTCGTAATTAGTCGACATCCAGTGGAATAGAGAGGAGTGCTTAAGTAACTAATCGAACACCCCACTGATGTGGACAAACCTATACGCAAACATGCACAGTCTCAGACGACATTACCTGAGACAGAATCCATCTCAAACACTTCAGTCATTCTGTCCAATCCAAATGACTCTGAAATGGCCTTCGTGCTCGTCTTCATATCATCACAATTACTTGCATCTCCGATCTCGAGAATCCTGTCTGTGCGTGCCTATTTCCAGTGAACAAACCCTCTGTTCTATTAGTTTCCGTGTGTGTTGCATTCGAGAGAATGAATGCGAATGAAGGATGGATAGATGGATGGTCTGTGTGTTTGTGTATGAATATAGATTTGTGCATGTTGTGTGGATGTGTGGTGCATTGACTGATAGATTTAGTGAATAAATGAATGAGTTTACGTTCGACTGTGTTTGTGTTTCATTGTGACCGTGTGGAATTGGTGAATGAGAGAGTGAGAGGATGATTGAATGTGAGACTGACGTTACTTACGTGTGACTAGATATGATTGGTTTTGTGAACGATTTGAGATGATTCGGAGGTCTAGTTCCATGAACATGTATGAGCGTGTATCTATGAGATGAGGGAACGTCTTCGTGAATCATATAGTCTCACACTGTATGACGACTGTGAGTTCACTGTTCAACTTGAAACAACAATATTGTACATAAAGTCACAATCGAGAAGTTCGAGAACATTGATATGTCTATTGGAACTGTCGATTTTCAATCGACTGGACGGTCGGTGATGTGAGTGTAATGTCGAGTGCTGGTAAACCGGAGAATCGAGTGACTTGTGTGACATGCACACACGGGACACTTGCAATACAAGTGACCGACCAGGTGACCTACTCAGTAGACTCATCTCCATCAAGACTGGAGGTGCGAGTGCACAACGAGCAGTCTACTGGTGATTTTGAGAAACTGCAGACAGAGCACCTACTCCAGAAGTCACAGACCATTGGATTGTTGCGGACGGTCAGGCGACATGTGGAATGCACCGCACACGCGCCAATTCTACACCGACACAGTGGACACGTGTGGACAGAGGTGGTGTGGGAATGTGATGCTTTTACAATGTGTACGGTGTTGTCACAGTGAGTAATGCTGAGTGATGATGGTAGAGTAGTGTTGTGGCTACAAAAGCCGCCTGCTGGGAGTGGGGTTCGAACCCACGCGGGGATACACCCCAGGGGATCTTAAGTCCACCGCCTTAACCACTCGGCCATCCCAGCTGATTTTCGCTGGCACCGACTTGCACACTCACCACTTCACTATCAGTCGCTCGCACAAACACCAACTCCAACGAGCACCCACACAAAGATCATTAACCCACAATACCACAACATCAACACAACACCAATACTAACACCAATGAATACACGCTGAACTACTCACCTACCACCCACACATGATCGCTCACTCCGATCCACATACACACGCGCACACACACACACACACATATTCATCAACAACACACCGACTGATCAATTCGTCAACAAACATCGCTCATCAACTAGTCACTCTTTACTGACATTCACTGTGTTCACATATAGTCAAGTCATTCCCACACCACTATGCAACCATCGAATATTTCACTCGCATACACTCAGCCACACTAACCGTCACAACCATGATAGGCATTGTTTTGAATCAACCAGTGTTCATTATCCTGTTGTGTTGTATGCGGCTGACACGTTCAGTCTTGCCTGTGACTCGGTGTTGTTGTAAGAAACAATATCTTCTCAGAGTGATGTGATCCCGACGGGGGTGTGTGTTTTGACTTGACTCCTCCGTCATTATTCTCAACGTCGTAATTAGTCGACATCCAGTGGAATAGAGAGGAGTGCTTAAGTAACTAATCGAACACCCCACTGATGTGGACAAACCTATACGCAAACATGCACAGTCTCAGACGACATTACCTGAGACAGAATCCATCTCAAACACTTCAGTCATTCTGTCCAATCCAAATGACTCTGAAATGGCCCTCGTGCTCGTCTTCATATCATCACAATTACTTGCATCTCCGATCTCGAGAATCCTGTCTGTGCGTGCCTATTTCCAGTGAACAAACCCTCTGTTCTATTAGTTTCCGTGTGTGTTGCATTCGAGAGAATGAATGCGAATGAAGGATGGATAGATGGATGGTCTGTGTGTTTGTGTATGAATATAGATTTGTGCATGTTGTGTGGATGTGTGGTGCATTGACTGATAGATTTAGTGAATAAATGAATGAGTTTACGTTCGACTGTGTTTGTGTTTCATTGTGACCGTGTGGAATTGGTGAATGAGAGAGTGAGAGGATGATTGAATGTGAGACTGACGTTACTTACGTGTGACTAGATATGATTGGTTTTGTGAACGATTTGAGATGATTCGGAGGTCTAGTTCCATGAACATGTATGAGCGTGTATCTATGAGATGAGGGAACGTCTTCGTGAATCATATAGTCTCACACTGTATGACGACTGTGAGTTCACTGTTCAACTTGAAACAACAATATTGTACATAAAGTCACAATCGAGAAGTTCGAGAACATTGATATGTCTATTGGAACTGTCGATTTTCAATCGACTGGACGGTCGGTGATGTGAGTGTAATGTCGAAGTGCTCGTAAGCTGAAGAATCGTCTGTTTTAATATGTATCCGTCCATGTAGCTCTACCTTCATTGTTTTTTTCAAGTATATTCGTAACAGAACTTCTCTTCTTGGTTTTTGGATGTTGCTGTTATTCCTTTTATTCTTTATATTTTCCTGATACGTTTTTTATTGTTTTTTCACTTATTTTGACACGGTTTTTTTGTTTTTGGATGTAAAGTTTTTCTAGAGGATGTTTTTGTTTTCGAATTGGTATACTCTTGTGTATTAATATGCAGCAACCTAATTCACTTTAACTGAACTCCGTGAGTCGTCGTTGTTATTTAAATTTTCTGTCAAATACGTTATGGTCGTAGACTTATTTTTTCTGTAACTGATACTTGTAGGTACGTTCATAAGTGTGAAAGCGGGAAACAATCAAAGCTTCAAAAGTAACACTTTAATTGATGAAAGCTCTTTAGTATTATGCATAAAGGATTTAAAGCATGACTACAAAACCAAATACAAATTGAACAGTATTACTATTATTTTAATTCTATTTATGCTCACCAAAATAAATACTTCATTTCAAATTTACAACTTTACTCATTGGTGTATAAAAATACTGAAACAAATTGAATAAAACAGAGTTATTCACCGATTGAGCAAACTAATTAAACTTTTAATTTCCTTATGATCGCAAGACATAAATTGTTTACAAAGTTGATAGAATTGTTCATAAATATATTTAGGCGTCAATAATCGATTATAATTTCTTAAAGGATCTTGATAATTAGTGAATGAATCATATTGTTTGTTTGGATCAATGTGATCGGATCGAATGATTTCTGAATAATAATTTATTTCGGCTTGTAGATATTGTTTAAAATCAATATGATGATTATTTTCATGAGATTCAGTGGATAAAATTGATTCAGGGCATTCTGTATTTCGAATATTTTCTAATAACACTGTTGAGTGTAACATAGTCAACAAATGTGCTGGTTGGAATGGTATAAAGTCAATTTTAAATTCGGAAAAGTCAAATGATGATGGAGAAGAAGAGGATGACGATTGTATGCAAAATAAACAAATAAAACTTAATAAAATAATTAAGGATATTACAGAATAACCAGATTGAAAATATTCTTGTGTTAGCAGGTCAAGTAAATCACAAGTAGTCATTAAATTAGTCATATCTCTTTCTAACAATTCATTAAATCCATTTAAACAATTAGGTTGGCTATTTTTTATTCTTTCAACAACTTCTCGTTGAACAGCACGATAATGTCTAGCTTGCACAGTAAGCTTACTAATTTGGTTGTCTAGTTCTAAACCTTTATTGACATGATCATCTAAATATTCATATAATTTACTGAACAATGTTTCAAGTTGAGAAGCATAATTATCAAACTTTAGTGACGATAGTGATTTCGGAGGTACAGAACCATGATCCATAAATTTTATAGCATTCTTCGTATACAAGACAATGTAAAGATTATTTGCATCACTATTCGTTTTACGTTTTCCACTAAGATTATTATGAAAAATGATCTCTTGTAAAATTGGCCAAAATGTTTCAGGATGATTACTTTGTAGCTTAAATTTGAATTTTTTATTATATTTAATTGAAATGTATACACATTGTTGATCATCATTATTCATTTGTTTCAAACCACAAAATGATACACATACGGTGAAATTATTTAGACTACTTTCATTAAAACAAGTAGCATCATTTTTAGGTAATAAATTTGGTAATAAGTCTGATAAATTTACATTTTTTAAATAATTCTGAAATTTTGTTACCAGTTGAAAAACCAAAGAAAATTTCCCAGTGATTTGATTCTTATGTACAAAGGTGCTAGAAGCAAACAAAATTAATGGGAGCTTGATACAATTAGTAACACATTTTGTAATTGAATGAGAATTAAACGACATTGAATTATCAGTAGGGCAATTAATTTTTTCATTATTATTATTATTATCATTGTTCAAGGAAGTAAAAGTGTAATACAACATTATAACAACATTCATATCTAATGGAAGTTGATTATTTCTTAATGATGATGTCCCATTTTCTCTATCAATAAACTTATTCACATTATAACATGTTAATGTATATGAATACTTATATGGATTATTATGATTGACTAAAACAAAATTATGACTATTTAATTCATTAGAAAAAATTTCTATATAATTAGGTTTTATTATAATTGGTGAACAAGAATGAATTAATAGATAAACAGAATTAAATTGTTCTATGAGGTATGTTCTTGGAAATTCAATATCAATATCAATAAAGCATAATTCATTCTCATTTATATTCAGTCGATTTGAATTTAAACGTATAGATGTTTTCAATTTTGGGAGAGAATCTTTTCAAGATGAGTCTTTTTATGATTATTACTAGGGAATAATAAGGATGAATGAACTTTTATTAGCTGATCAATACGTTCATTTACTTGATGCATTTCTTCATCTAAACTTTCATTGTTCAATTGTGACTGATTAGGATATATTTCATTTGAATAATTGTGATCGTTTTGACTTGATTTCATGATATTTGGGACAACTAAATTAGATGGATCAGTGCCAAGATATGACAAATTAATCCGTCCATTTCTATGAAGTACAACAATTAAACCAGATGAAAAATTCAGTCCAATAAATGGAAGTTTTTTACCGTAACATTTACTTAATTCCATTGTGAATATAGGCATAGATATATGAATTGCACCCAATGATAACAATGCGGACCATAAGAGTTGGGCACCCTAAAAAGTAAAGAAGACTATATCATTAATGTCTAGTAAATGATACATAGGTTATTAGATAAAGATGGTAAATGGGTTGGTGAGATGGTAAATCTTTATCAACTGAGGTAGCTAGGTCAACTTTAATGTGTCCCTGACCACAACCTACCTCAACGTGCAATATTTGCTGTAACCAGGTAATAAGAAAATTAAGAATGATCAAGCTGAGACGTGGTATTAGCCCATGAAGTCATTAACTGTCGGTTTCAGCCGTGTTCGTAGATGCGGACTACTTAGTTGAAGTCTAGGAGATTATGGAGACCCACGATTGGAGATGTTGGATAATATGGCCTTAGTTACCTTAGTTACATCAAACTTATGTTAAGCATTGAAGACACTAATAGCCAAATAAGTGTGTTCCTTTCAATAACTTTACCTTTCACTGTCAGATATTATTTTGATGATAGGATGGAAGAAATGTGTTAAACAGTAGTCTTTTTGTTACTATGTTTATAATAAAAGCCCATGATATACATTAGCAAACCTGAGTATTCCTTAAAAATGATGGATTCGATCTCTTTATGTCAATTAAGTAAAGTTCTATTTATAGAGAAAAAGGGGAAAAACCGAACATAAACCAGCAAAATTCAATTAAAGTGCTTATGATTAATGGCTATATGAGGCAGCCTGGTCAGGAAACACATATGCAAACAAAGACCGGTCATCTGTGGTCCTTACCATCAACAGTGAGAAGATTCAAAAAACCCCTACAACTAAGGCAAAGTTCATTTCCCTAGCAGAAGCTAGTGGACATCCGGACTCAGTAGCCAAGTGGTTAGCGCGTTGGGCGTTTCAAGCTAAAAGAATGAGTATGATTCCGCAAGTGAACATCAGCACGAGTGCAGTTACATTCACCTGACAAGTCCCATTTAGGATTAAACGCGCCTCTTGAAGTTTACTGCTAGCCACTAGCAAAACTTTGCCATCTGTTAGCGTTCAGGAAGAAAAATTTATGGATGAATTAAGAGGCATTTATTCACATACTCAATCAACTTTCTTTGATGATACAATATTGGATAACTTGATAGAGTAAATAGTGAGGATTTTATTATTAAATGAAATCGAGGTCAATTAGGTTCAAACTTCTTGCACAGTGAAATGAACAGTAATAATGACTACTGAAAAGTTGATAAAATATAGTGAAGACTTTATCAAAGAACAACTGAACTGTTTATGCATGCAATACTGGTGACTACACCCAAAAATCCATTGATTCTAATTGCAATATCAAAGGATTTAAAAGTTACATGAAAACTAAAAACAAAGGTCTATAAAATTGCACGAAAACTAGTCAATAAGGAAGAAATAATTGTTTTCTAAGATTGCAAGTTTATTCATTCATTTGAATTCGGACAGAAGAGTAATTAAATCTTAATTCATCGCTATGCATTCAGTCCAAAAAAAATTTATTTCATACATATCCAACACCAACTGAAATGTGTGGTTTTAAAGTAACTCGCCGAACGAAAGAGATGGGATAAAAAATAGTAGTAGAAGTGGAGGGATGGTTATGGTTAGAGCGCCATACATTCAATTGGTGGGTCTATTTCATCCAGTCTAAACAAAGATAAAGCTGACAAGTCGCCAATATATCTGAAACAGATGGATGTAAAAACGCAGGATGTGAAAAACGTAACGTATCATTTTCAATTCCCGTACTATACATGGGGGAGAACACTTGATTTAGTATACGAGTAAACGGTAAAAATATCAGCAGTTTCGAAAACACCATTAAGTAGTCAGAGGATGAAAAGAATTCGCTAGAACTAAGCATATCATTTACAGGGACATAATAATATCCCTATCTAAAGCCTGCATCTATAACACTGATGTCAATATTGAGACGTGTAATTTAGTCTCCAGTCACAGGTTGTGATTCCCTTGAGGACATCAACAGAATTGTCTTCACTACGCTACACAGCTCAGACTAATAGCCAATGAACTCATGAACCGAGCTAGGATCCGATGGCGTATAAGTCTAACTTCAATCAGTCCATGATATTATGCGAACATCCTCATGTGCGGAACCATCGTTATCAAGTAATAGAATTATGTGCTTGTAGTTTAGATTATGCTACTAATAACGTTAAAAATGAACTTTAGTCAAAACTGAATGAATAACTTATTTCATATCATTTCGTTTATCATGGTGATTGTAAGAGGGTTTTACGTACATCTCATTTACTGGATTATATTAAAGTTTAGCCAATGATAATACTTCATATATATGAAATTTTGATGATTAGACATTACTGTGAGAAAACAATACACTTACTTTAAATACAAGTAGCTGATTTTTCTCTGTTGTTACCAGAAACCTTGGCACCCACGAAACTTGACTTTGTGCATTAGTAAACAATAAGTTCTCCAGTGAATTAACATTTACTTCTGAATAACCATATACACATAGTTGTTTGGATGGAATCTCAATACGCCGAGTAAACAGTAAGGAACCAGTTTCTGAGATAAGGAAAATTCGTTTTCTGCCTAATGCAACTACATATGATAAGGGATAGTGTTTACTAGTTGTAAACTCTGAGTCAATTTCATCCATACACAATATAGGTTCTCCTAAAACAATCGACCAGTCTAATGGAATATTTTTATGATCAGTATATAATGTTTGCGAGTGTTTAATATTCGAAGACAGAAAACTAAAACAATATAATTTTATTGAAGCAGCTGTTATTAATGAATGGATGGATTTTACAAATATTATAGGACCAGGTATTAGAATATTTGGTAAGGTTATTTGAAGTAATTCTCCATTCGCATTGAAAAAGTAAAGAGATGCGTCAAGCGTTTGAACACAAATGACATCTGTTTGGATTTGTTCGAAGAATTTGCCAAGAAGTAATGTGTATGAGTCCTTTTGAACGTTAAGTTTGAATGAAAGCGTTAACTTCCAAGATTCTAGTGAAAAAGTATCACCACAGCCTTGAAACGAATCATCAGACTTCGCAAAATCATAAACAGCTATCATTCGTGAATGCAAAACTGCTATCTGTTGATACTGACACATTTCCGTGACAAGATTACCACAATCTATACACAAAATAGGATGCTCGGTATTGTATTCAATGCACAAATCATTATAATTATGTAATTGATGGTCTGATTTTTCATTAACTGAAATTTCAGCAGCTCGAGGTAGAAAAATGGATAAAATACCAGAGGAAGTTCCAAATAAGATGAAATATTGAGATTTATGCAAATTGTGAAGAGGACTTAACTTCAAGCAAAATCCGTCCTCAAAATTTGTTGTGTGCAGCTGTGATGACCAAATTTCACAAGTTTTAAACAATGACATTAGTAATTATCTTGTAAATCGAAGGTGTACGATAAACAATATTCTCCGCATACTTCAGATTTTGATAAATATTTTAATGGGATTGTAATTTAAAATAATTGGGTCTTTCATTACAGTGAATAATTATCATTTAACTGAAAAAGATGAGGTCATTCAGTAAATTTATAAGTTGATATGAATGAAAAATTGTCCATTCAGTACAGGCATCTAAAGGAAGGTGTTGTGAAAGTGTTATTGTTAATGACACTATCTAAATAAGCAAATAACTACGATAAGTGAATATTAAACAATTATTTATAAATTTCATATAATGGCTGAGATCGAAAGAGAAATTACCTCTGTATAAAAGGTAATTAAATATATATAACTGTTGTGTACAACTCAATTGTTAAACTATGTGAAAATGTAGATTCGTAAATCTCTTAGAGACCTAACACCAAACATTAAACAAAATATCGGTCAGAACAAGTGAACTGTAGATTTTATGCAGATGAAATCATGAACATTCTCAGAAAAATGGGATTATAACAGACGGAATAAATGAAACAAGGAAGATTTTGGTACTACATGAGAATAATGAGGAAAAATATAAAACAGTAGGTTAAAAAGTAATCACCAAGTAGAAATGGAGAATCACCATAAGGTATAACTTCGGGTCAATTTGCTGATCAAATGATAAGTGTAAAATAGGTATTACCTTCCAAATAATTTTATTACCATAGTTGTATTGAAATAGTTAGGCAAATAATTTTAAAAATTACACTTATGGAACCACGACTGGGACATTTGATGAGAAGAATCAGAATACCAGTCAAACAGAATCCAAATCAACGCTGTTTTTCATTATTTGGTCCAATTATTTCATACCTCTAGCGATTAGACAGCAGTATTACTTTATAGGTAAGTTTGTTTCCAACCTTGTTACTAAGGGTAGTCAACAGTTTATTTGTGAGTGAACAATAATACAGTTTATATAATTTTCAAAAAAATCTCAGGTTAGCACAGTGTGTACATTATTTATCATGAAAATGATTAAGGAGATCGATTTTCAATCACTAGGTAGCACATTTGAGTCTTGGACCATCCAATGATGTTTGAAACTTGACAAGCACAGGATACAACACCTCTCACTGACACATCGCAAACCTGACGTTAATAGTTAGATCAACATCATGAAGGACAAAAGATTACTCAGATTAACATGACCCTTCTGGCTTTCACCATACATAAATTGATCTCATCACTCGCTCTACCACCAACACTTACACAACTACCCAGACACGTGAACTTATCTACTACCTCTAACCGCTCACTACCAACAGTGAGTACAGACACATACTCCTGTCAGCCTTGTAGAGGTGCTTTGTACTGAGAAGCTGCTAAACACATGCCATACCTACGGACACTCATTGCCAACTGATGAAGTGAGGATTGCATGGTTCGAGTCATATCAAACAGTAGGACAATATCATCCTCATACTCAACGCCGAAGGTTCCTTCTCCAAGTGACAGATACACACCATCACTCCCATCAGAGCTGTCTCCAGAACGTCATCGACAGTAAAGTGGAAGAGGTACCCCGCTAAGTACTTGTCTCCAGATGGAGCACTTGGAATTTATTCTTACTTTCCGTCTACGACCTACTAGAAGATCCTTAGTTCATTTTAAAAGAGATCCGGCAATAGCAAAGTTTTCCAACTTCAATAGCAGTCTATTAGTTGGCACCTTGTCAAAAGTTTTACTGAAGTCTATGTAGACAACATCCACTGAGTTTTCGTTGTCTATCGCCTTTATCCAAAACTCCCTTGCTATAAGGAGATTCGTTGTACAAGATAGACCCTTTCTTAAACCATTTTGTTCTATTTTTAGCAAGCTATTGGTTTCCATAAATGCTATTATGGTACGCTTGACTATTCTTTCTAATATTTTAACTACAACACTAATGAAGCTTACAGGTCTGTAGTTCGATGGAACTTGTCTTGGTCCTGTTTTATGTATGGGGGTGACGAGTGCGTCCTTCCGGTCCATAGGCAACACACTTTGGTCAAGTGACATATTGAATATCACAGTCAGTGGGGCTGCGATATATTGTGCAATATGTCTCAAGATTTTGGGGGGTAGTTCATCTGGTCCTGTTGACTTTTTCATGTTTAAGGTGCTAAAAGCCTTAAGCACATCGTCTTGATCGAAGTATACGGTGAGAAAGTGGTCTGTTGACTCTTTATTTTGGTCTGGTTTTTGTCTAGAGGAGGTTTCTGAGTGAAATCTGCCCCAATCATCTGCTACACATTCTGGACTGCGATATACTACAACTAATTCGAAATCTCGCCGTCCACATTTCAGCTTACATCGCGCCAGTTCACATGTCCGTGAAATATGTGCCACTGTCTCAGCTACTCTTATGGTTACGGTACTTTCCAGGTACAGGATAATCCCGCCTCCCCTACGGTTTAATCTATCATCCCTATTGGATAAAAAACCAGTCAACTGAATTTCGTTATCTAATACTTCTGACGTTAACCAAGTTTCCGAGACAGCAATAACATCCGGTTTTTCTTTATCCACCAGTGACTTGAGCTCCGCCATTTTATTTAGTAGGCTGCGAGCATCTGTGTAGCATACCTTTAGGTCTGTGGAGAACTTTCCCTTAGTACACAGAGTGGTTTGGGGATCGTTCTTTTCTAAACTTTTACAATTTGAAAACCCTCAAGAACGAGGTTTCTTTCACCGTTTCGGCGACGCTTATTTATTTCCACTTCTGTAGCTTGTCTTCTAATACGATCAGCTAAGCTGAGATCCTCACGGACGTATATTCCGGATCTAATCAGTTTACGTGAGTTACCTAGAATAAGGTTCCTTTCTTCAACCGTGGCAAATGTAACCTTCAAGAGGCGGCTTTTCTGAGGACATTCAGAATCCACCTTTTGTCCTATTCTATAAAGCTTACAAATACTAACTCCTGAAACTGTATCTGGGAGTAGTTTGCTTACTAAGAACTTAATATGACTGAGATCATGTTCAAATCTAGCCTTTGGTTGCTTATCGGAAGATTCTCTTAACTTATGAAAAATGACTGACCTCTCAGAGAGATCTGTCTTGACACGCAATAGAGTTTTTGTTTCTGATACCGCCTCTCCCAACGACTTACTAACCAGCTGTGTTTCGCCTACAACTTTTTTCTTCTCATTTCTTTTTCTCTGTACTGAAGTCCATTTATCATCATTCAGGACAGCCACACCGGGACTATTTGGAACGGTGACAGTTTTATCCGGGTCTTCAATTTCCACTAGAGGCGTATGATTTCCGATGTCAATATCAAGCAGCATTTTACTCCTTTTTAATGTTAACAGGGATTTCACTTTCCCGTCAATCACAGTTGAGTGTTTATCGGGTCAGGTAGCAGCACGTACTACACTGTGACATTCTTCACGGTCAGTGCTCGTGTTATTAACGCAACCGACATCGTTTTCCTTACAGACCCAAAGCCAATAGGCTCATAGCCTCCTGAATTAGTAACTTCTTATTTGTACAGCAAAGCATACAAAGCCAATGTGAGTTAGGCTTCGAGCATCTTTTGTATGCCGTATGACTTAGATGTGTACACATCTTATGGTACCACTTTTTACACTCATCGCACTGCATTTATTTCTCAACGGGGAAGAAGCAGTTTGGTTGTCCACATTTATAAGTCTTACTAACCATTAAAATTTGATTAAGAAGGTTCAAAACACAATAAGATCACAATGTGAACATGAGTGTCAGTCAATGAGTAAAAATAAGGTACCACCCCAAGCTGCCAGCTTTGGGGAAATTTTGGGTTTTTTGTCTCATTTCCCCAAAATTCACTATAGAGGCTTCCACAAAATGGACTAAATTTTCCCCAAAGTTGGGAGCCTGGGACAGGACAAAGTTTAGCAAAAATTTCAAACCTTAACCAGAGTACTTTTAATTGAAGTAGACCAAGAATGTTTTTTGATGCAACAAATACAAAAAGCAAAGATAATCACGACAAGTACAAAAATCACTGCCCTTTTTGAAACGAGTGCGGTATTATTATTTGCTTTAGACTAGACTGCTCTGAAAATTCTTCGTCGGGATATCAACTCGACTAGTTCCGATGACAATACCTTAACGATTCTTCCCAGAGTTTTTTTAAAGTTTCCTTGAAAATAGTGAGAGCTTTGACATAAAAAAATAACAATATGTCATCAAAAAGCTCACGTGTAACTAAGGTCAGTTCAACAGATTTATCTGAGTGTAGCAATAAAGAAAGAAGAATCACCGAATCTGTCGTTGGAAGTTAGTGACGAAATTGCTACTGATACGATGTGATCTGAAGTTATCACAAAGTGGAAATGCAGAAATTCCGAGGAATTAACAGTAATCCCGGTCAAACAGATACGAACACGTATGCACCAAAAACATGCGGCTTTAGTTTTTATCCGAAGCGTGCGAGCACAAATGTCTTTTCAAACACCAAAAAGAGTAAGAGCAAACGCGTAAACCAAAAACACACCGAACACTTTGAAAAAGTACCGTACTCCAAATGTTAAAAGTGAGTCAGAAAATTCTTATTTCTTTTCTTAGCATTATGATACTAATATAAGTTATTTTCAACTTTTTATTGCAATCACGTAATCTAATTGTGACACAAAATACTTGTTTGTTCGCTCAAAATATCATCATTTGTTGACTAAGTCTTAGCAACGTTATGCAGAGGGTTATTAAATGTTCATAAACAATTGATTTCACTTTTTACTAACTTGCGGTGATATCGAACTTCTAAGGGATTGGTAAATATTTTTAAATTGGTATTCAGTTTTCTTTTTCGTCACAGTCGGTCTTCAGTAATAAGGATAGGAGGTCTATCAACCTATATTAATCCTTGCAGTTTGTAATACTGTGGAGGTCCAATCTCGTTTTGAATATATTAACAGAATGTGCTGATATTACGTGTTCCTTTAGATAATTCCAGTGATGCAATTTTTCTGACAGTTATC